GTAATGTCAGTCCAAGGCTTAATTTGTAGCAGTAAGGAGGAAGTAGCAGCGGGACAGAACGATAGCAGATTCTTTCTGCTTCCGCTGTAGCGCTACGTTCTCCTGCCTAATAGTCTTCCTGCATCTTAGGTAAACATCAGCAGAATGCCTCCGGCTGCGTCTGCCTCAGCTTGGTGCGGTGTTGTATTCTTGAGTTCGAATGAGGCACAGCCAAGGCGAGGTCTCAAATGGAGCCGTATCAAGCACCCAAACAGCTGGTAAGTAGCACATTTATTGCTCATTATGAATTTGGGCTTGTTTGGATGAGTAGCCAGATGTGGATGCGGATGAAGTCTCATACATCCTAAGTGCCACCTCATTCAGTATTACTAACACTATCGCCGCCTCCGTAGTTGTGGCCGTTGCAAGAAGACGCATCTTTCGTTAAGACCCACTTCAATAAGCAAAATAGGTCTCTGTGGATGGGGGCGTGCGTAAACCTGCTCACTGTTGCACACTTTCGGCTAAAGATGCGAATATTTTGCTAGGTTGCTGAAATGGGATTTTTTATTTTATCTTAAATTGAACACCCTCGCCACGCCAATACTGTGTCATACGCTTTCTGTCGGAACAGTGTCAAACCATCTCCCTTGTCACCAAAGGGTCAACCGCTTTGGATTATTTTAAACCTTTTCAATGAATAAAATGTCCTAGAAGACAGTCAGAAGCCGACCTCTTGAGCTCACAAATAGGTAAGGAGGATGGATTGTGGATGCAATTGAGGTAAATGTTCATGAATAACTTGGCAAAATCTGGCATCTTATAAACGAGAAGTAACAACAAAACGGGCGAAGGGGTGATTTCAGGAGTTGTTATTGGGAAGGGAGGCAGAAGTAGCGACATTTCGACGCTTATCCTCGTCTTCAATGCCATAATAAGTGTTTCCACTTCCCACATCAATCTAATGAATCAACTGTGAAATGCTTAATGCAAATTTTGTGCATGTTGAATGTAGAAGGAAAGGTTAGATGGTGGGAGCGATGTCAATGCAAGTTGGAGGTACTGAATGAATAAAAGGCCTTTGCAATTTTCACTAGTGAAAGAACATTCAGGTACACAAAAGTCACTCATTGCACTATACAATGCTGATTGGTGGCTAATAATGCTGAGAGGGTTTGAACGCCGTATAATGATCCATTCACCACTCCCTTCGTTGGGAGGCATGTTTGCACGTTCATCTGCTGTAGGGGTTCGGAAAACCCACTGATGAATTTTGCAGGCTATCAGAGAATAAGCTTCATTTGAAACTACAGTATTTTAACGTTGGCGCTCTTCACATGAGCAATGATGGAGAAATGCATTAGATGTAACCTTAAGCACCGCTTGCTCTAATGTGCCAATACGAGTCAGTGAAGAGATGAACGACAATGGCGAGGTGTGTACAAGGTTGCCAGAAATGCTGCTCTCGATTTCGGAAGAATTAACTGAAATGACTGCCTGTAGCCTGTGAGAGCTGCAAAATGCGATTGTTGGCAGGTGTGCATTATGCAGGAGAGGCATGCGTCAGTGTGTCGGTGCGGTGCCTTTAATTGTCCTTTGTTGTAGTGTTCTGTGCCATTGTGTGTGTGTGTGTGTTGTGACTTGAAGTGCGCAGTTGTTCGCAAGCTGAAAGCCAAACAACAAATCGGGTTGAGACATGCCTTCCCGATGAGAAATGCCACACCACACCACACTACGCCAAGATGCGATGCGATGCGATGTGATACAACAGGAAAGTGTGCACGAGGGACTGTGTTTTCGTCAGAAACAGCCAAGACGAGTGAGTCGGTCGGGAGGAGGCTTTGTGACAACAAGGAGGTAGTTCAACGCCAGGCAGTGTGCTCCCAGGGAGAAATCAGTTTGTAGGTTGAGATGTAGTTGAATTGGATGCTGTGAGGCGATAGTGTCGGTGACTGATTGTCGACTAGGCGTGTCCTCACAGCCCTGTTTGACTACGGTAAGAAATGAGCAAGGCTGGAATTGACTGGCCTTCATGTCACAATCACAATGCTGCAGTCTATGAGGTTGGGATCATTGTCCTTTTAGATAGGGTCAGTCCATTTCTACCTCCACTATCACTATTGCCAGTGCAGCGTTCGAGCCTTGACTGCGGACATTATATGATGGAATACGTGGTCCTAGACAGCACACCGTGTGGTCGAGTGAAGTTGCATGGTCAAATGCACAGCAGCGAATCAAGTCAAAGGGTTGGTGAAAGGACGGCAAGTGAGAGAGTGAGAAGCGCTTTTATTCGAGAGTTCATGGCTGCTTGCCTGTTGGTGGAAGGAAAGATTTGGCATAAGGCGAGTTGTTTGTGTAGCTGAACTATGGCAGAAAGGCCTGTCTGTTTGCCTTTCCTCCTTCCTGTTTGCATGCCTAGCCACCTTTGTACCTTCCTACACCCAGAGCTTATCGGTGGAAGCATTTACCACGAAACGCCGAGATATGTGTGAATGCCACAGAGTGAGTTAAGTGTGAGCGGATTTTTGACGTGGGCTATGTCTCTCCGGTTCTGCATACTCTGCAAATGCCCACTTCATTTAGAAGGCGCTCAATCGTATTCTTGTGCCGTGACCTCGTGCAATTACGTCCACTTCGAGACTACTCTTCTTTCATCATCTTAGTGGAAGTGCAACAGAGAAGGGGACTTTGATTCTCTAGCGAGAGGAATGACAGCCTGGCAGAAATTGTGCCTCCTTTAGTGGAGTTGGGGTGTGTAACGCATGTTTGTTCCAATCAACAGAGACCTTCTCCACACTATGCCTGAAGGTGAATGCTGAATGAAATGTGGAATAAATCGGAGTTGGCGGTCGTGGTTGTGGGTGGATGAAATTAAGTTGGAAGGACTGTTCCCAAGTCAAGAATAGGCGTCGTTGGGATTCTTCATCCCTTTTCATTGTTCATTTGCCAACTTCATGGACATGAGTAGAATGATATCACAACCGTGATCATGCTGTGGGAGATGTCTGGGAAGCAGTGTGCATGTTAGAGTTGACTCAAGGGAGCTTGCCTGATGCATCCATGTCTGATGGGAATGCTAATTCGGTTATTCCTGAAGCCAGGCGGATGCTCACTTGGACTGTTGCCTTGCCATTGCTTTCTGGCATGTCCGGCTTACAGCGTAATTTGTTAAGCGGAAGTCAAGACGATGCTTTACATGAAATGCTGTGCTCCAGTTAGGCGTTATTTGATGTTGGATTTGTGGAGAAATGTATTCCCATGGTAGAGCATATCGTACCAGAGCATTCACGCCCTTTGGTGCCATTTGAGTTGCAAATCGGAGGGACTTCAAAGGGCATCTGCACACTTGGTTGACGGTGCTATTGACTTACCCGTCGTTTTGACGCGTGCCATGTGACACTCGGAGTCAGGCGCTGCCTCACGCACTTCCTACAATTTACGCCATATTAGACAACCAATGCTTCGCAGCATTTCGCTAACCCCTTTACTGTTCAAATGTGCCTAAAGTGCTGAAAGTCTCCCAACTTCGTTCATTAGGTCCACTTTAGTTGTACCAAGTGAATTGGAAGAACGACTGTGCGCGAGACGATTGCTCGTTACTTCTGGACGTGGTCAGCATTACCGCTGCTACCGTCGCCCACAGAGGGTGTAAATGTCCCTTACTCCAAGGGTGTTTAGCGCCCCAGTCTGTGTAGTTTAATTCCTCTGCCACATTTCTTTCATGCTATAGCTGTTTTGATTAGTAATGTTTCTCCCATCACGGAGTGGCACTCGCGTCGCTGTCAGTATTGTCACAATTGTTGTTGTGTTGGCTTGACTCGCTCACCAGTCTGTGACACGTCTGTTTGCTCTCGTATCATTACTGTGCCGATGGATTCACGATAGGTGGAATGAACGCTGTCTCCTGAGTGATTTGTTTGGCTGTCCGCAGATGCCCTCCTCTGCTGTCTTTGTGTCTTTAAGCCAGTGAGACTAATTTGCCTGTGTAAGTGGCAAGTCCTGATAAGTGAGGACAAATTGTCTGCAAGGTCTTGTCGATGTGATGGACATCAGCACCTACTTGGTGTTCTTCATGGCTAGAAAGTGCTTGAAGTGGCATTGCAAAATCGACTATGAAATGCAGTGCCTTTAAATGGGCTGTGGTTTAACAGTTCAGTGTCGAATGCTTGCAGGTGTTTGTGAAGTGGGCTGCAAGACGCAGTGACACATGCATTGACGTGTCATTCGCTGGCGCACGTCTTTCGCATTCATCATCACTAGAAGGCGTTCCTAGGTGGTTGATAGGCTCACTCCGATGCACACTAGCCAATCTCAATGCAGCTACTGTAGCTGCGCGATCTTTCACTCTAATTGCTGCGGTTTAGTTGATGTGTCTGCTGGGTGCCAGGAGGGTGGGTTCGCATTCTTGGTGCGGAACCCACCTGATGTGGCTAATAGCGGATACTGAATGGACTGAATAGCTGCACGAAGTGGAATGTGAGGATGACTCTCGTCCGCAAAGTTCATTCCTTTATGCATAACAGTGTGGTTGACATCCTATACCGCCGTATATGCATGTGACAGGTGAGCTTGAACTCATCTCCCATGTTACCCCATTCAAATAATTAAATATATGCATTCTAGCAACTAGGTAATCACATTTTCGCCTTTTTGTCTTTGAAATTTGCAGATGTGAAGGAAGGAAAGTGGTTTAATTTGCAAATCGTTGCACTTCACTTTTCACACCTCCGTGCTCACGAACCATGACTTTCGTTTGACATGCTGAGTGGCACATCCGATCTGACTTGTCGCTTATAACCTTGTAGACCCTCTTTGGAGCCTGTTTGTCGTACTCCATCCACCTGATCGCCTTCCTACGCATCACAAATATGTTAAATTGAGACTCTTCAAATGGTTTGTGCTTTGACTCGTCGTTCCCTTCATTTGCGATTTTACGCTGGAGATGTAGTTCTCTGGCACATGCTTTGCTGCCATCCTGCTGCTCTGCTTTTCGTCTGTCTGCTTTAACCTCGCTGTTTTGTTCATCATTTGCTGTTCTGCTTCCTTGACCACTATTCCACTGTCATATTTGTGGGCTATTTTATCTCACAGGCACTGAAGAAGTGCCACAACAACTGCCGCAGCCTGGAGAGAGGCGTAGATCCACCCACCAACACTATGCAGTGCACATCAGCCTTGTCCAACTTCGCCTCTCTTAACGCCTTCTTTACTGAATTTATCGTCCTACTGAAGAGGTGTGTGCACAACTGCTCAAATTGGTGCGCCTGTTGGGTGCACAGAAATCGGTCTCGTCACACAACTAGTTTGTATTTACGTTTGTGGGTGCGGCTGAACGGAGCGTTCTGTTTACAATCCCACACGCCTTTCTCAGACGACTGATCGCTTTCTTGTTAGTTGTCCCTTCCTCCTACTCCTGCTTGAAAGTCCTTGCAAATTTAGCCTGCAGTCGAGAATCAAATCCTTGCTGCCGAAGTGCGTGTCACTACTACTAGTGAGCAAGAGGGACACATGGAAGATGTCACAACCCAAATGGAAGATGAGCATATTGCGCTGCCTGTCTACCTTCTTGTCCAAACCATATGCAATGGCAGCTGCTGTTGGCTCATTGATGATACGCAGCACATTCAAACCTGCTATTTTGCCTA